TAAAGCGCTTTCTTTTTTTTCTTTTTTCCTTTTCGGATTTTCATTTAGAATCAACTTTCCTCTACGACTAAAGGCTCTTCCAAGAGAGACTATGCTAACAATTAAACTACTTGGAGCAAACAGTACCTCTAAAAATACAGACGTGCTTGCTTGGACATGCTGCCCATTGTATCCCAAACAGTGAGTTCCATTTTGCATGGTAACTTAAAAAAAAAGAATATTCTTGAATAAAATTGCACTAAACGTGGCAGGAATATAAAAGTAGAGAAAGAGTGCTGCTGTAATAAGATTGAGACAGTAACTTACAGTAAAGTGTACCTAATGTGCCTGTAAGAGCCCCTTGCATGAGCTTTTCATTTTGCAAAGAGTTCTTCCAAATGTATTGGTTTAGGACTTGGCTTCCATAACTGTTTAACTTAGAGTGAAGCTCCTCGGATGTGTTGAAAGGCCTTCCTGTACCCTTTCCTGTAGCTCTCCAGTATCCTTCTTGACTTTGCTGCTTGTTCACATTTGTTTTCTGAACTGGGTTTCCTTTTTCATGTCCATTCATTTTGTCAAAAGTGGGATGCTAGTGATGACCAGTGAGCACCTTTCCCTCTACAAAGCGCCTGAAGCTCTGTCTTCTTTTTTAACTTCTTTTCTGCACAGCATTCAGTGTAACAAGGATTTAAAGATGCTTGTAGACTTGAGTATCTCTGCAGTGATACATAAACAAAGATTTGATAAACTTTCCGCAGTACCCTAAATATATTTTATAAGTATTAAGACATCTTAAGTTTTGATCAAGCAATTAAAATAATACTTAATTTTTATGTAGACCCCCATCCCCTGGCTCCTATATGTCTCAGAATAAGATTCACAACAGCTGCCTTGCAGACTGCCCAGAGAGCAATAGAATTATGTTCAAGCCTCACAAATTTCCGTGTAAGCATCCGGTTCCCATTTGTAACACTTTTTGTCATCTTAAGATCTCTTCATCTGCTTCTGCATATGCTGGCATCCTCTGTCAAAAAGGAAGAAAAAGAGAATGAGAGAGAAAGAAAAGCCTTAATTGTATTTATGCATTTACTGTATATAAAAGACACTAGGTTCCATTGAGTTTTTAGGCTGAGGCTTAAAACACTAGCTTATAGGTTAGGCTGAACTTTCTGTCTTTCCAGAAGAGAATTCAAGATTCATTTGTTCAAGGAGGAGAGCATGCTTCTGTGACTGAGCTATTAGAGTGCTTAGCAGAAAGGAAGGAGGAATAATGGAAGGAAAAATACATACATACATGCATACATACATACATACCATGCATACGTGAATCTCTGGAGTCTCTGCTCCAAGGAATGCTTAGGCATTTTATTCCATGTCTTTTTCTTACTCTTTTGCTAAGCTAGTCTGTAGAAGAGCGCAACACTCTCTCTTCCCTTAAGTGTGATTAAAAAAAAAAAAAGCATTATGCTTATTTTTCAGTATTTCTATTTTTCTAATACTTAGGGAGAAATAGGGAAAATATCTTGGCTGAGAATCTAATTCGAATTGAAGTGTTAGAAATGAGTTGAGCTCCAGGGAGGTGATGTATGTTGGGTCCATGGAGCATGTACCCAGGCATGGCAGCTTAGCTTGAGAACACTTGGGCACCTTTGGAGATAAATGGGCTGTTTGAGCATCCTTTGCTTGAGGATCTGTGTTATGCTAGAGTTTTCTTCTCAATATTCAAGTCCTAAAGGAAAGATTTTTGGAAAATCTTTTGGAAAATCTCTGAGACTGCTCAGCTTTCTATGATATATTTTTCATATATACCTTGAGAATAAGCATACTGATTTTTGTTAGGTAGGTCCTCAAGTCTAGGCAATTTTGAAAATTTTACTGAAAAACAGCTCCATTCTTTCATGGCATACACAGTCAGCACAATGAAGGGAATGCAAGGTTATTTTCTTTTCATCTGCTGTGTAATTGTAGAGATCATGGTTGAAATGACCTTCGGAACAGAAATAAAGGTTGAACTGTATGAGGAGAAATGATTTAGGAATAATATGTGCAGCATCCCCTACTGCTAGCTGTGTCATTAACAGGTATAGGAATTGCTAACACAGAGAAGGTTAAACGCCTTTTCCTCTTTTAGCCAGCCACAGCTCCCCAGATTATTTATTCACTGTGATTTGAATTGATAGACTGATTAAAAAAATAAGAGTACCCCTGAAATGCCTTCTGAAATGTGAAACTTAGGTATCTGAACCACATCTGCTATTTAATTTCCTTTGAAACTCATGATTTTTTTTTTTTAACTGGAGTAAGGTAGCTCTCAAAATTAATTATTTAGGAAGTGGCAGGATTAAAACTATCAGGTGGTTCTGAACAGATAATACTATTAGTTAGCTGTAACACTTGAGAAGCAACTGTAGGACTTTGAGACGTTATTTCTTATTTCACACACACACTTTTTTTTTTCTTAATTAACTTGCTAATTTTGAGTAAAAGATTAATAAAGTGAGCAAAGAACCAAACCTTACTCCTGGCATGAGTCTGAACTTCAAGACTTAGTTCAGTGGAGTATTTCTGAATGTGAAATTCAGTGTACCATACTGTAAACTCTGTACTGTACCTATATACCAAGAAAAGATTTGCACCTATACTGTCATGCTACCCTTGGAGAGTACTGTGTACTGTTGCAAAGAATATGCTGTTTAGTCTCTGCATGAACAAACCCTGCAAATGTATCTAAAGAGATTTAAGAAAAAAATGTCAGGGAAATCTCTGTTAAACATTCCTGAAATGAAAAATGTCACTTTCCAATTTTTACAAAATTAGCTTGAGTCATGAAGAATTCTCAACGGATCTAACTGGTCTAGGATTTAACTTATAGTGCAAAAGAGAGCAATAAGCTCTTTAAAGAAGCCAGTAGCCCTAATGTATTTGCCAGGGCCGTCAAACAACCTTTTCAAATCCTTGTCCTACTTGACCACTGATCCATTCTTCACAGGCTCAGGAAAGAGGAAGAGAGTGGCCTCTTTTTCCTATTCAAATATACATATATATTTAAAGATTCTTTAAAACTTGAAGAACAATCGAAAAATATAATAAATATCAAACAGGATTTTAAAATACAATTCCTATATTAAAAAATATGTTTTTTTAGGGGGGGAGGGTTTTTTTTGCTCTTCCAGATATTACTTAGGCATCTTGAAGATCTGAAAGTGACCTAGCACAACAAAAAAAAAAAAAAAAAGATGGTCTGAGAATTTACTGTTCTCTCTAAGTTTACTATCCATTTTCTCTTCAAAATGACTTGTCATTAAATGATAGCTCTCTACTTTGCAGCTTAATAACCAAGTTACATATTTATTTTTAGTATAAACTGAAGATTAGGAAAAGCTGAACAAAAACTTATTTTAACATATAATATGTACAAGTCCCTTTCATCTGTATCTAGAATTGTGGAAAGCTTCTTACCCTTGTGGGCAGGAGCATAGCAAAGTTCTGTGCCTGATCAAAGGGCTATAATATTTCTCTGGGATTTTAACACTCTAGTCCTGCTCTGAACAAACTATTAACTAAGCAGAGTGTATGAGTAGTATATACAAAGAATAGATATATTCAAAGCAAATATATTACTATTCGGGAATCTGTTTATAATCCCAGTCACTTCCTCCATACCACGCCTATATTCAAACCACACAAACCCTAAAAATGATCTCATTAATTCGACCTGTTTCCTCTTTTTATTCTATGAAAGACTTGTCAGTGAATAGATGTTAGTAAATTTGACATTTGTTTGTTTGGAATTATTTCCTGAATTCTAGTAACATCTCACACTATTCTGAGCATTGCCATGCACTTTGTTGGTTTAGAATGGGTTAAACTGATGGAGGTGCTGGGCACTTTCTGTGCTCTTTATCACATGCACACTTGCTTTATTGCTTTGCATGTTTCTCTTCGTATGGTCCTTTTACAAAATTGTCTTTCTGTAAAAATTCTCCTAAGTTTGCCTATATGTAGTTGTTGACCTTAAAAATATTGCTCATGGATTTGTTAAATATACGGATAGACTTTTGGACAAAAAGCATCAAAGAACTGGGAACCCAACTGAAGCAATTTTTTTCAGACTCTTGGGTAATCTGGTGATTTTCTGTTTGCAGTATTCTGCTACTTCAGATTTATAGTGGTCATTTAAACTGGAAATTATGAAACGAAAGATGTGATCCTTGTATATGTCTGTAGCACATGTAGCATTTAGAAGGAAAATTATACCTTGAAGTGTTCTTGAATGTTCAAGTAGTCTTAGTTATGATAAAGTATTTATTTCATGATATCATTCTAGTGCAGAATTAAGACTGTTTAGCCAAAAAAGAGGGTTTTTTTTTAAAAAAAATCTATATTTTAATTTTCTTTAACCTCAACTCTAAATTATTGAAGTTCGTAATGTCAGATTTGGGGATAATTGCATTATTATTTGCTCTCATTTCACTGGTATGTCCAGTCTAAACTGTAATTAATATTACAGTCACTCGGGAGTGAAAACAGGGCTGCCTACTTACCCACCAGGTGAATTTCTGCATCTGTGTTTCTTATCCTTATCAGATAGTTGGCTTTATACAGGATAAATTGTATCCCTAAATCAGTGCCAGTAAGGCTGTTGATGGGGTACTGTCTCAAGAAGGCTTATTAAACCCAAGAGGCTGCTCAAAAAGCGTTTGCAAACCAGAGTGCCAGCTTTCCATTCCTTCACACCAGGAAAGCTTCTTTGTCTCTTGAGCTGAATAGTTTAGAGACCCAGAGCTAATTAACAAGTCAGAGATCCATCATTTGGGGCAGCTTGGAAGATGTAATGTCTCCCACAGTGCTCATTGCTCTGAGTTCACTGATTCTAATAACACACTTTATTTTGAACTAGTATTTCCAAGTTGGACAGAGAAGGCAACATAATTTCCCTCTTGCTGGGCTTAAAGAGTGAAGTCTCTCACATAACTTCAGGGCACGGGGTTAAAATTATAAATTAGAATAACTTGAGCTGTCCTTAAACCATGCTGTCCTCTTGTGCTCTTATGAGCCAGGAAGTTTACATCAGCTCCTGTCGTAAACAGGAATTGGGAATCTGTACAATTTCAGGGGTTTGCATGTGTGCTGGCTTTGCAAGAGCACATAAATAAATAAATGGCAGCAAGCTCACAGCAGGACTTGTGTATTTGCCTTCTCACATACTTTCTGCTGAAGAAAACTTTTCCAGATGCATTATGGAAGCCATCTTCTTTGCCCATGATGGTTTGTAGTTCTTGTACAGACTTCAAAAAATACGCTCACATTATAGAGGGCAAAAGTGAGGGGCAGAAGGGGAATGACCTGCCTAAAGTCATCAGCAGTCCCAGGTAGCAGAGGTAGGGATCTGTCTTGTCAGTAAAGGTTATGGTTTTCATGCTCTAGATGTTCTATCTTTCTTTTTCTGAACAGGTACTGTACACTCTCCTGTTTCTTTTTCTTTTTTAAAAAAATAATGACATGTTATGTTCCTGTTCTCTTTGCTTCTGTGCCTCAAAAAATTGCCATAATTCACAGTGGTGAACACCTCTTCGTATGTTTTTCAGATGTCTCTTGAGTTTCCAGTCTAGTCTACAGAGTAATTTACTGAAGGAAGCTGTATAAGCTGCTCATTCATAAACATGTATATTAGGATGGTTTATATATTGGTAGTAAATATTTATCTAGTTAACATTCATTTTTACTACAAGATATCATCTCCATCCTATCCAAGTGGTTTTATGTCTCTCTTTTTACTCACAATCCCATTTACTGCCCTTACATAGGAACAATTTTCTCAGTCCAGCAAAAATACATCCTTTTGCTGCTTCTCTGGTTTTAGGACACTGAGAAGCCCATCTACCTAGTCTTCCTTATCCTTGTAGTAAGTCTTTAAATTTTTTTAAAGCCCAATCTGATGGTGATTGGCAAAAATGAGAGCACAAAAGGATAACTCTTGTCTTCATGTTCATTCAGTTCTCAATTATTCCTCCTCCTACAAATGTGACACTTGGTCCATATTATGATGTAAACACAAGAAAATGGTTGAAAAGGTGCAACTCATTTAGTAAAAGTCATCCAGCAAAACATCACAACATATTTCAATCACCTTTGGTTTGTTCTCCATTCATTTCAGTGACTTAGATGTTAAAAGCTTCATATCACACAACTGGTTTCCCCAGTGTTCTGTTTGTTCACATCTCAGTTCCTTTTTCTGCCTCCATCCCTCACATCTGTACCTACAACTGCGAAAGAAACTTTAGAAATTTTCATTTTCTTTAATCCTCCTGAGCTGTGCTCTTTCAATAAAATAAAATGGTCTCACTAACAACATTAATAGCTTCAGAAGTGAAAAGCTAAAGTTAGCCCTAAATTCAATTTTGCACTGATTGTTGACTAAAAATGACCTTGCAGGAGTTTCTTATTTCTTCTTCGGATAACTTCACAACAATTTATTTCTATTGCCATTTAAAAGGTACTTTTTTTTTTCCTGGAAGTGCTGCAAACATTGGGATCAGACAAACCTCTGGGTTCTTTTGTATGTCTCTAGAATCATCACCCCTGGTGATAGCTGTTCACTCAAAATTCATTTACCTAGACAATTGTTTATGTTACAGTGGACAAAGGAGAATTTAGCTTGTTGGTTCACAGCTCAATCGGTGCTTGGAATAATAGTAATAAAAATTATCAGTCAGTAAAAGAAAACAGGTCCAGCATAATCAGATTTCTGACCTTTTCCTCAGTAACTATTAAATGGAAAGCTAAAGGGCAAGTCCAGTGTACTAAGTCTTTATTCAAGTACTGTATTTTAATTCAAGTGGATTAATTGTGATTAGGCTTTTCATCTGAGCTTTCTGATTTTATTGCGGTTCTCTAGATGATATTATGTTGACCTAGTATAGCAGGCTGCTTTTCATTTCTGCAGGCTGCATGCGTGCATGTTTCTGGTAAGACTTATGCGTGTAGTGCTTGGACAGCTACTTGAGACCATAAACTTCCATCTCTCCAGAGACCATGTGCAACATGTAGTACAAAACTATCCCATTCGGACTCCTTCTAGCTCTGCAGAGACTCAGGAAGGTTACTCCTGCCTCCCTACCACCTACCCATCCTGACAGATAAGACCAGCAAGGGTCCTTTATGGTTTTAAGTTATCAAGAGAGTTTCTTCTTTCTATGAAAAAAATGTAGGCTATCCTTCCTTCTCTCCATTTCCACCTAATATAATAGGTTGTTGTCTCACAGTCTAAGACATTTTGAGTTTATTCCCAGCATGAAATACTGAGATAGAAATATGGTATAATCCCAATTTTTACACCTGCTTTAGCAAACAAGAAGTTAGTGGTAAAGCTCAGTGCTGATCTGGAATTTATAGACTCCTTGATTCCAGGGTTGTAGTCCCTGGAGAAGAACAGATGCTGCCACAGCAACAGAGGCCATTAGTGTGTGACCACAGCTGATCTAGGCCAGGTGTGTACTGGCCATGTAAAGATAAAAGGTTTGATCTCCTGCCACTTACCTCTTAAGCCATCCAGTTCCATGTTTTTTGATAAAATATCCGTAATCCTTGTCACCATTTCTCCACTACTGATGCTGTATTTTTGTCTGTGTTTGTTGGCATTTGCAGGCAGTTCATTCATGGCACTGTGCTGCTTAGCATGGCGTTGTACAGCACATTTCCAACAACGATGATTGCCCCAGGCATCTGCAGTTCTGATATTGCAGCCCCAGTAACATTACAGGTAAGAATTATTACATGAAAAACCAAAGTGAAATATTGTTTTCTAACAAAGTCTAGGAAAAATGGTTGTTCCCACAGCTCATCAAGACCATAAATTAAAAATCTTTTTTTCATTACACTTTTTTTTTTGTAATTCCATTTTTACTTCCATGTCACAGAGTTTTGCAAAGGAATGGAATAGTGTAATTCTACACAATGGCAAATATATATGATACTTCTTAAATCAAATACCACTTGTGAGGGTTAGAGAGGGGTAATTTTTGTTGTTATCTTTGTTCCAGAAATAGTTCGGCACAAATTACTGGCTTGGTACCTGACTTACAGCTGCCTTTTCAAATCTGAACTTCTGTTCCAAATATTATTGAACTATGTGATGTTATAAATGTAGGATACAGTACCATTCAGCTTGCAGTTAAACTGAGTAGCATAAATGTTCTGTAAGAAAAGTAGCTACACCCTAAGCATCAGGATTTAGCAGTATAGCTCTCCCTCCATTATTGCATGCTGAGCACCTACTAACTCTGAGTAGAACAGGCCTCTGAGTATTGAAAACACATTAAGTCTTCTTGGTCGTTCTGTTACTTTTCCAGGTTGGATTAGTAACCGGATACATAAAGCCAATTGTACTTTGTATTAAAAATTGAATTGTTACCGGCAAATAATGCACAAAAGCTGATAGTATAGATGAATGAGTCTAGCCTAAAGATGGGCTATTTTTCATAGACAAGCAAATGGAGATTTTCTAGTCTGAGGAGCTCAGTCATAGATGACTCCTTGAAATAGCTCTCTTATTAAAAATGTAAGAAAACTGAGAAAGTAGATGGCTACTAATTTATTATCTCTCTCTGCTGAAAGAAACTGGACAGGAGGGTTTCTCCTTTTTTCCTGACTCTTTCTCAATTATTCCCTTATACTTAACTGACTATTGGGCTATGTGAGTGTGCTGGAAATACTGCCATAAAAAAATAGTTTTTCTGAGTTACTGACATGACACTTGCATTTTACAATGGATTATTTTGTTAACCAGCAGAGGAGAGATATATATCAGGCACATAGATAAGAGACCCTTTTATCCTACTTACCTGCCCTTATTACAGTGTGATCTAACAGGCCAAAGTTAGATATGCAAGTTGAGCTGGATTTTAAAGAATAATCTGAATTTTCACCAAATTATTTATTCAGATCCCAAAAAACCTCAAACTTTATTACTTTTCTTTTTTTTTCTCTCTTCTTTAGAAAATATTACTCTTAAACGTTTGCATTTCTGAGGCTTATCTGGAAATGCAAAGAATGAAAATCAGTAGATGTTGTATGATATATGTGAAATTGAATATCCAGAATTGAAATTAGAAACCTGATTCTCTTCTTTGACACTGACAAACTGCACATACATACAAAATATTTTTGCATTCTTTGGGAAACAAAAATCTGGTGGATGCTTTCCATTTCAGATCCATCTCATTAAGAGCTAGCAAGGGAGAGGAGAAAGGAAAAAAAAAACAACTTAAGCCTTGAATTCTACGCAGTTCTATTAAAACTGAAATACAATGGATGAAATTTTCCTAGTAAAGTCAGTGACTTTGGTGGGTGAGGTTTATATTCTTTATATTATTATATTTATATTATTATTTGGTGGGTCAGGCATATATATTTATGGAAACATACTGTAAACATTTTCAGAGATTTACCCATTTCTGGGTGATTTATCTCTCTCTCACTCTCTCACACACACACACACAAACACATTCTCTCTTTTTTTTTTCTGTTTTTAAGATTGACTTTCCAGAAACCAACTTGGAGTTCATTAAACCTGAACCTGAAGAGAAAAGAGACAATCTTGAAGAGCCAACTAAGGAGTGCCTGAAGCATATTGCAAGACTTTCACAGACACATTGTCTCTTGCTGTAAGTTGTACCCAGATAGCCCTGCTGAATTGTGGCTGCTGTATTTACGCTATTGATTGCACTGAAATGTATCCCATTCTTTAAAAATGAAATTTTCCTCTGAAGGAGCCTACCACGGTTCATTTGAGAAAGTAACATCTGTAAATAAGAGAAGAGATCACAGTGAAGCCTAAATAAGCCCTTTGAGGTAGCTTTGTTTTGCTGATTTAGAAAAGGGCTATGGATTTTTTTTTTTATTCTTTCGTCTTTTCAACATCCTTGAAATGAGAAACCAATTTCTAATTTAAAACAAAATTTTCAGGTGAATCAGTTTTCAGCAATAAATCCACATCAATATTAGCAAGAGAGCTTTTAGGTTCTATGAAAATCAGCATCCCTTGGTAATAATAAGCTCAAACTGTGAAGACACAGTTGCTAAATAACATATAATCATTTGAAGGACAATCTTTGTCAAGTTCTTTTATAAAAAAGGAAAGGAGTATGCAAAATTTTGCTTTCATAGATGCATGTTAAGGACAAAGTGAAATGAAAACTCACTGTGAATACTAGGGCAGATGAGTAATTCCAGATATGGATAGGTTACATTATCGAGTAGCATTAAGTACTATATAAAATGAGGATTTTAGGTGTAATCAGAGTAGAATTAGGAACATATGTGCTTACAGAGAGTTTATACCAGTCACAGTTAACTGTATTAATTAATCCATGATCAAAGACCAAAAGATGCATATATAGTTGTAGTTGTAGTATAGTTGTCCAACAATAAAATAACTTAAAGCTATTTCAGCCCTTCCAATGTGATATGAGGCAGCTCTAAAGAACTTTTTTCTTCTGTGATGGTTTCTCTTTTTTTCAGAAAAGAAGATGGTTCTTTTATATATGTAGAAAAAAAAGAATATTTAACATCCATTTTTTTTGGAAATGCAGAATGAAATTTAGAGTTATTTGTTATTAACCATAGTATTTTAGATTTGATTTGATTTTTAAGAATGAATTGGAGATCAGTAGTCTATTGCAAATGGCCGTTGTGCCAGAGCACTGGCAATTTGCCAACACGACTCCCACCTGCAGGAAGGGCAGCAGTGGTGATTTTGGGGAACTTCAGGCCGATGAGTCATACCTCCATCCACAATAAGTGATGAGTCCCGCAGTGAACAGTGTCACGCTGAAATGCCTTTTTTTTTTTCCCCTGACTTTCTCCTCTACCAGGGAGCCACAGTCATCTGTGGCTTTCTTCATTCAAATCCTTTCTCAGGATTTGCTGTTATAGAATGTTTCATTGTACCATGCAGCATGCTTTACTATTCTGTAAATTATTGATAAGTTCATTCAAGGTGGTGGTACTTGCAGGAGTCATAAATACATTTCTTTAGGAACTAGGAAGTTTGTAGATCAGAGACGACTGTGTTTGCAAGTAAGGCTTCCATAGCCTTACTTGGCTATAATGATTATTGGAGACTTCTTTTTCATACCTTGTTGTTTTTCAGTTTTCACATCTCTAGAGCAAGCTGGTCAACCAGATAAGTCATCAAAGTGAAGGATGGCATATTTGAGATTGAAATTAAGGAAGTCCATTTTTATTAAGCCTGTGATTTTTGTCTGTGCTTTTCTCTGCGATTTTTTGATATTTTTTCTGACATTTTTGTTCTGTTTGTATCAGAAGCAAAGTAGACTTACTTTTTTTTTAGCTCCTTAAGACATAACAGAAGTTTATTAAAAAAGAATATAACAATATCTTTATATCCAAGCGCATTATTTTCGTAAAATTTCTAGATGTCTTCCTGTCTTGTTTTTGTGTATAAAAGGAAAGAGAGGCAGTCGTTCAGTGACAATATGTCCATATTCAGGCCTGCAAACCTCAGGTATGATTTGGAAATAATGAATGTCTGTGGCTGAAGATGCAAGAGTGCTGTCTGAAACAGTAGTGATCCTTCTGAAAGCAAAGTGAATATGTAGATGGACAGAAAATGTTATTGATCCTATTGCAGAAAAAAAAAAGAACAAATAATGGTTAAAACTAGCTAACTGTGTGGCTGTCCTTGTTAGAGGCTGCTATGTCCAGCTTCCTGATGGATGCAAGGCTGCTCTGGCAGATCAAGACAGCAGGTCAACACAGAAAGAAAACCATCCCTTACCAGCCTGCGCGTAAGCACGCTCTGCTCTCAGGGACATAAGCAGCGCAGACACACCAGCTTTGGTCCCTTCTGTCTGGCTGGTCTGGATGAAAGTCCACTAGAATAATATATGTATACATAATATGAATATGTGTACATGCGTATCCTTATCAATTATCAAAATGCTGATCCGTCCCGCAGTTGATCTTAAGCAGTCTGTGCAGTTGCTGATCTCTGCTCTTCCCAGTTGCTGGCACCCAGATGTACAAGCTCCCAGGTGCACAGACACGCTCAGTTTGGAGGCACTTGGAGCATTTCTCATTACAGAGACATGGGTCTCTCTGGTAGCTGGAACAAACTGATGGTGTCTCCTGTCCCCACCTGCCTGTGAAACCCCCTGTCTCTCTGGTAGCTGGCCTAGGCTGGTGGTCCCTGTGGCCCTGCATGGTGTTCAGTGATGGACACTGGAGGGATCGGTGGGGCTGGAGGGAAGCACACTTCACTGTATGGCTGTTGCACTCCTGCAGCCCCGTGCCCTGCGCTGCTGCAGGGCCTTTGGCACCCTAACCAGATAGGGTGAGAAAGGGAGACCAAAAGGGATCATTAGCCACAGCCAGCAGCTTTGGCTGGCTTCTGAAAAGGGTTGAGATGTAACCTTTATTGGTAATGTAAAAGATATATTGAGAGATGTAAGCCTTTGATTCTTGTTAGGATTACTGCATTTGAAATACAAAACCACGGAAAACTGATATAGCGGCTGCTCTTTGAACAAGGTGCTGCCTGATTGTGCACGGTGGCTTCCATTGGAAGGATCAAAAGCTGATTTGAAGGCAGAAAAATGATAGTATGGGTTTTGCCACTTTCCTGCCTTCATTCATGATTTTCTTTCTATCTTACCTTTTTCCTCTCTTCCGGCTTCCCTTTTTCCTTTTTGCCACTTACCTTGTAAGAACCTAGTTTATCTACCAGTCATCAGTAGAATGTATTGGCTATGAATTCTGAATAGGTATTTTAATGTAATTATTTAATGGGAGGAAACTTAGAAATGGCTTGAGCAAAAAAAAAAAACATTTTTATCAATAAAAATGGGTTTAAAGAAGAGGAAATGCCCTTATTAACATAAAAATATTCTTATGCTATATATATGCAAATTACTTTTGCCACCTATGTTAAATGTCTAGTCATATGTGTATGTAAACTTCTGTTACAGCTAAGAAACTAAAATGAAAATCTCAAATCCTTAATCTCATCTCAAGTCTTTAAAATAAGTTAATCAAGGTTCCTGTAGAACAAGACTGGAAAGAGAAAATAGCATTGCCTCTAGAGTGAAGTAGGTAGGAGAAACCTGTGATTTAGAAAACCTGATACAAGGATTGATTTCTTATCATCTTTTATAAACTCAGTGTAGGCTTTAGCTGCTTTAATCTAAAAAACAGATTGTCTAGTGTGGAAGATGCTGTTTAGAAGCTTAAAAATCTCTGTTTAAAATCAACATATAAATGGGGTCATTTAACGGAACTGTCCCGCTGAATATCACCTGAATGCAATGGAAGACAGGCCAGATAGGCAGAAGGCCCGCAGGTCTACCTTTATCTCTTTCTTTCTGTTTCTTTCTGTTTGTGAATTCTGCTTCACAAACAGAAGTTGCTGTTGTCCTGAAAGACATACTGTGAAGTCTGACACTACAAGTAGGATACTTTTATTTAAATGATTTCTAAAAGTCATGATGGAATTTATATCATGGGTAGGTTCTTCTACTGCATGCATTTATGAGCTTATTCATATCCTTTCCCTGGGGGAAAGGAATAAACATTCACTCTTGTGAATTTAAAAAACACTCTCTGTTCCTGTGTACTTGTCAAGAAGGAAAAAGATGATTGTTTGGCTAAGAATGCCCCAAATTGTTGCAAATACAAGGAAAAAGACTTTGAAAGGGATGCAAACATTTGGATTTTCAGCCCTGCTTACATTTTGAGATAATGAAACTCTTGCCTGGGAAAAAAACTTTTCACTGCCTTCTACAACATTTCTCTCAGCTTTTCTGAAATATCTAGGTCAGCTTAATGGCACAATTAGGAAATCAAACTAATCAGATGGATCACAGATCTAGTCCAATAGGACCAAAAAAGCCCATGTTCCTCTTGGCTCCAATAATGATTTGTGCCAACTGGAGATTACTTTGCGCTCTCAAAGGTTGCTTTTGAAGGCTCTGATATCAAATTAAGTCTGTCAGAGCTTTCCTCTCATAGGAAATTCTTTTTCTGTATCCTGATGATACTAAAACCTAGGATTTAATATACACAAGGCAAAGACATCTGAATTGCTGACAAATCGGGTTATATAGCAAGAATTATTCTGAAGCACTTCTCTCTGTGGTAAAATATGGAGTAATGATGAAACGTTTTATCAATATGCCATTCAGCCAGCTAATATCTCTGCAAGAAAGTCAATATTGCATCCTTCTTTTATTTTTAAGTACAGTGAAACATGATGTGCTGTGAGCTTTCCTTCTCTTCAAAAGCATTGGAGTACTAGGGAAAATCACTCCGCGTAAGCCTGCCTGTGTACTTGTGCACATGTGTGTATGTGTCTAAACCCCATTTTAAATGCAAATAGACTAAAAAATAGACACAACTGCACCAAATGACCAAAGCTATGGAAGGAATAAAAGCTGTGGTCAGCAGTGTTCTGTGTTATTACCACAGTTAGTTACAGATGATGTGGAGCAGAAGGATGTAAAAATAATTTATCCAGGAAAAACTGTCCAGTCTCTGTTTTATTGTCTAGGTTGGAAAACCCCAGTACAAAAAAAAGAAAAAAAAAAAAAACAAGGATAGAGGAGATGAGAGCACTTGGGAAGTCAAATAATATGTGTGTGTCTTTTGACACTTCATTTTTATATGACCCAGGGCTGACAGTTCCAGAGTATAAGTACCACTTTTCTTATAAGAGCTGGTCTGCAGAAAATGATACCCCAAGGAAAACAAGTACTTAGCCAAAAAGCTGCATACTGTATGACTTGGCCTCTCTGTACAATAAAGTTTGTTGCTACACAAAGCTCCAGGTGGTTTTAATTTCAAACTGAATTTCTAATCTTCTCTTCCAGACTCTCAGAGCAAAAGAGAAGAATATTGTGGTTTTATCGTTACTACTGCAATAATCAAAATTGCTCCCTTCCTTTGGTACTGGGCAGTGCACCCAGTTGGGATCGGACAACTGTGTCAGAAATGTATGCTGTGTTGAGGAGATGGAGATTTTCTAACCCCCTGGAGGCACTTGGACTACTGACTTTCAGGTAAGAGAAAATTAACCAAGTCAGAAAATTACAATAAACAGAATGGCCCTGTGCAGATTAATTCAGCAGTTCGATTTGCTCAGCAAAGTATCGTGCTTTAGTTCATTGACTGTCTGCTTTCAGCTTTGTCTGTGAATCAAAGTGAAGATGCAGTTGAAACTCCTGCAGTGACCTTGAGTTGAATGAACCAGCCTTGCCTTCCTGGCTGAGAAGGTCTTCTATTTTTCAGGATAATGAAAAGAATATTTCATTCCATATAGCAGATTCAGTCAGTTTGTGGTAACAGGTGATCACTTAAATACTGAGTAGTTACATAGCACTTCATATGTTCAAACTACTGTACAGACATGAAGTCAGTAGTAGGAGATAGAGAGGAGTGAACTATGCTTCCAGGTTGAGATTCCATACAAGTAAGTACAGTCCTATCTGTATTCCCTCTTTGTAATGTAGATAAAAGGAGGCTTTAGAGGCTGTTTCCACTGCTTTGAATGAATTCAGTTGTGATTCCTTGTGTTACACCCCGCCTTTATCATACTGGGATTGGCCTGTATGTTGGAAGGTTTTCCTAATGTTTGAGGTAGTCTTACATATGATGTAATACTGGGTTTCAGGGGACAGAATCTGTGTCAGCAACTACATTTCCTGTAAAAACCTGGGAAGTATTTGTATTAAGCAATCTACCTGTGAAAACATCAAACATATGGATGATATAATTGAGCAAATGTTGTATTATCAAGCCCTAGCTTGTCTGGGTAGGCACAACCTACATGGCTTTGCAATCTCAATTCCTTCTTATACACAGAACCTTTAGAAAAGAATACTTCACCTGTGTCTTTACTTGATGAATAAGAACTGTATACAATTTTATCTAACCTCCACATTATTAAAAATACTTATTTAATAATATAAACCCAACCCACAGACTGTTATTTCCTTCTAAGGATGACTTTCTGAGTATACCTGTCTCAGCTTTTATCTCATCTGAAATATTAGCAATTTCACATGTGCATATGTTTCCTTTTTATATTTAGAGGAAATTATGCTAAGAAAGATCTTTAAAATCAGATTTTCTAGCATTTCATATGTATCTTATTTACCATTTTAAAACCTTAGAATCCATTTCTAATATACAAGAGGAGGGTGTAGAAAGGAGTACACAGGCAGCACGTCGTCCACGCCCAAAGCAGCAAATGGTTTTGAAATGGTTCATCAGGCTTTCATGTGTGGTCGTGTATCTAATTTTGTTTCTGTGTATGGGTGGCATCTCTGCAGACAAAGAGCTTGAAGACACGTGGCACAGAACATAAGCCAAGGTGTTTCACAGGGTGTTTAGTACAACTAAGCCTGTCACAAAGCTTCCCAGTGTGTAGTGGATGCAATGTTCAGGGTGCTCAGATTTCTGCCATGGAAAGATAGGAAAATGTCACCGTTTTGTCTCTCCTAATGGCACCATTGGGAGTGACTGGTACTATCAGTGGTGAGTGGTGCCAAAGAATAAGAAGTGCTTCTGAGGAGGACTCTAGCTGGTCGATCCCTTTAATTACACCTTCTCACAGAAGATAAGATCAACCCACTTTTTTACTTTACGCAGGCATTTTCAACTGTATCACAGTAGAAGTCATCATTAAAAAAAATCTGGCCTCCACATATTTCCAGCATTTTATAGGTGTGTGAGCAACTGGAAAGCTAAGGGAAGCTTTAGAAGCAAAGGGACTATATTTCCTTAAAATGCCCTGATTTCAAGAACTCTAGGCCACATGATTTAACTGCTGTGAGATGATGTGTATATGAAAATTGAGAGAGTTGAAGGAGCAGAGCACTTTTTGTATAAATGCTGCTATACCTCTGCTGAGGTATCTTCTGTTTGTTCTTTTTTTCTCAGTTTCAATCATTTTGAAAAGTAAAGTTGCACTGAATAAGTTCCAACTCTTCTTCATCATTACCTTGCCTGGCTTTGGCTTGTAGGTTCACCGAGCTGCTTTTCACTAAGCTTCACTCATCTCGAGCATGTGTTATGCTTGGCTCTCAAAATTCTTTGTCTCACTTCCTGACTCCTTTCATCAATAAAACAGCTCTCTAATTTCTTATGATTACTGACATGTAGCTGATAGATCCATGTTCATATAAAACATGGACAGAGTAGAAAAGAAATTCTTTATTAATGCATGTTTATTTGTTGGGACTTGTGCTATCTTCACTGTCAAGTCATAGATAAGCAAAAAGGTTTAGGGCTGATGCTCCTCTATGTGTGGTGCTAATTTAATGCAGTCACGTGGGAGCAGCTGTACTAAACCAGTCAGTACATCCTGTCTCCAGCAGTGACCAGTAACATATACATGGGGAAGACAATGAGGCAAACATAAGGACACTTTGCTGCTCTCCCAGTTTCCAGTAATCTGTGGCTCAGGGCATTCCCAAATGACAAGTTTTGATGTTTAATAGCACCCTTACTTTTCTTCTTCCATTATTTTTTCCAGTCCCTTTTGATTCCCCATAAACATTTAGCATTCTGAACATCCTGTGGCAAGGAGATCCACAGTTCAGCTGTATGTTGTGTCACTTGAATATGATACCTTCATATATAAAGATCAAGAATTTCAAATGTGCCAGGGTTTTGGATGTCTTTGCTGGAGCTCCCTGTGGGCATCTGCTTATTCATAGTGCGCTATAGGGTACTCAAAATCACTAGTTACTTCTGTAAGCTTTGGGCTGGGCAGTCTAATTTACCCTTCTCCTCAACGTAAAGAGGAAGCATTTGTTCTAATGATTAAGCTCAAGCTTACATTTGTAATATAAAAAAAATATCATAGGAGGTACTCAGAATCTAACTCACAGTGCTTTAGGTACCCATCATACCATGACCAATCCAATGAAGCTCCATTATCCCACCTCTTTATTTAAATATTTTTTTTTGTCATCTGATGATACTTTTAAATCAAGGGTTCACAATACACCTAAGTGTAGACATTTGTTGTTCTTTGAGCATGTCTCTCTTTCTGCTTGTGTTCTTCCATTTTGCAGTCACCTGTCAAGGCAACCAAACTATAATGTACTCATTAATACAGTAGAAAAAAAGAACTTTTATAAATTGGAAACACAATCATGGTACATTTCACAGATAAATTCAGTAGCAACCTTGCATCCACTACTTGTATCAAGTGTATTGATTCCTATAGCCCTAGGAGCCGATGCTTAAAAAACAATTTAAAAACTTCTTTACTCAATGAAGAAGGGAGTGGGGAGGTAGAGGCAGAGCAGTGTAAGATTTTGCACTTTTAGTTTTACCTCTGATTTCAGGGAGGGATGATTATATGCCATTGCCTGAAAAACAGAAATATTCCAAAGGCAGAGGGTGTAAAGCTGGTCCCTCCTTCCCATCAGTACTTGGTGCTGCCATATGCATTTCACCGTTGTTTACACTTACTGGGCTTGGTAAAAAGCTCAGCTTTAGTGGAGTTAGAGCTTCTCTAACTATATCGTCTTTTGCATGGTGCGCTAGCCAGGGAAATGAAACCGGTACACTTGTTTATTCAGAAAGTTTTCTTAGTGATGGAGAGAAGCCAAAAACAACATTATAAATGCCATCATATATGGTGTATTGGAAACATCCCTATGTTTTGTATATGTATACAACAACTGTACTTAAAAATTGTTGTCAGGTTATTTTACTTTTCAAATTATTTAAAATGCAAGAATAAATATATTAATTAACCTAAAAAAACAAATACCCTGACATTGATACTCAATTCTTCTGAAATGACAGATCTTCAAAGCACCCATAGAGCCTCCTACTGAATGCTTGCTTCAGGCTCCTTTATTCTGGCATGTTCAGAGTGCTCTTGCAGTCAGGTATCATGGCTAGGAAGGCTTGATTTTGAGCTAGAATCCTAAAGCAAGAGTCAGAAAAGAACTATCGTACTTTCCAGTACTATGGAGGGATAGGACTGCTCTGAAGGGACAACTTTCATCAACTGAAGAAATTACCTCTGAGAGGCTTATCTATTTTTCCTAGAACTTCCTGCTAATTTCTCCTTGTGTCAGGGCAACTGCACAGAAGAGGGCATTCCCTTAAAGTCGTGTGCTGCATTGAAGGATCTTAAGATCAGGCATGCAAGTTTAAGAGTGATTTTGTACTGCCTTGCTTAAACCCCTTCATGGAGCAAGCAGAGATTATGAAAGGTGGGACTCTTCCCCTCCCAGGCTAGAGAAATTACTCTTTGATTAAAGTATCTTTCAGCCATGGTATTACTCTTGCTTTTTCACATTATGTAGCAGAGTATCTGTTGAGTTTCAGAGTTTAGAATATATAGCAGTAATGTGAAACTCACTTTCTAACCAATAATTATAATCAAATGCAATAGCTTGAACCCAGATTTTGTTCTGGCACCTTTGAAAGCCAGATTCATTTTAGAAATGTTCAATCAGATTTTCATGTGTTTAGTAAAACAGAATTTAGACTGTTTCCTGCAGTTGCACAACAGAATGCCCAAAAGAGTATTTATCAGAAAGACACAGCAAGAGCTTATCTTGCCAGTACATATCTTTCCTGTTTGTACCTTACTTGGTTTCAAAGGCTGTGGTTGTATATCAATATAGAAAGCAAACATGGGCTTATGCAAAGAAATAAGATATGAATAAAGCAAAAATCTAAACTTAATTTGTAAAGAACACTATAGATAAAGCTTTAAAATGGCTTTTAGTAATTTACATGAAATTTAGTGATAATTTACATTATGTTACCTAGTTTGTTAGGAGTAGACTATTTTTCATAGTAAGCATCAGATTAATTCCCTAGTTTTTTCACTACCTGTTATCTTCATTGCCAATAAAGAATCTATGTTAGCTTCCTTGCTGGGGAATATGAAGTACAATAGTAATGGACAACTAGGTAGGGTGGGGCATGCTACATCTAATATCTAATATTTACATCTCAGATTTACATCTAGTGTAAACAATCACAAGTTTTCCATGTTTGGTGTTTTATTTGTTTCATTTTACTT